TGGAGTTGCACTGTAGGTTGAAGATGGTCCTTTTTGTAGTTTTGAGATTTACTTAAGGGGAGAGCTGTGATTCAAAATCTGTCTGCAGGTCCTGGTATTCGCTGACAGGTATGTAGATAATGTGGAACCCACTTCCCACTACCCTGGAATCTGTCCGTGAAGTGGTGCTGTAGGTTTACTCCCTGAAATAAAATGTGGTTAAGAGAGGGGAGAGAATGAAGCAGATAGTGGGCTGAAGAGGGGAGTGGAGAGATAGAGGAGTAAGGGGGGAAACAAATGAGTGTGCCAACAAATTGAGAGAGGCCTATACTGAAACTGATAAAAACAATAGACCACAGCTACAGACGAACCAACTCTCATACAAAAAATAAAAAATAAAAATAAAACATATAGTGATGCTAACCAACCACCTTGTTAGTGTGCTGTTCCTCTATACAAAGATATGGTTTACAGAGAGAAGAAAAGAGAAGAAAAGGAAAACGAAAAAAGAAAAAAGGGAACAATACAGTAGGAATAGAATTAAGTCATTAAACTAATAGTATCAATGAAGTACACTCTGAGACATTTCGTTTAAGTCCAATGTCCTTTCAGGTCTGATTTCTAGTTTTCTTTTCAAGTGGTAAATTAGTTTGCAGTTAGTGTCAGTTGCCCCTGGTCTACTGTGAAGGACAGTTCAGGTTACCCTCTGTTCACCACTCTGGCCTATGTCTTTATCAAGCTTGTTTCTCCCTTTTCGGTGTTGTTACCTTGAATCGCCAGCAGGTGGTGCAATCTCAGCTGCTTGCCCCAGAGGGGGTGGGGCCGGACAGGAACAAGATGGCTGCCTGCCTCAGAGCAGGCAATAGGAGCCTTACAGTGGGCAGGACAGTCTCGGTCGCAGGAGAATGATCCCAGCAGATCTTCCCTGAAGGGGTTTGATGTGGATTGCCTCGGGCTGGGTGGTGTGATGTGCTACGGCCGTCACAGAGGCTGTGGCAGTGGGCAGTGGCGGTGGCGGCAGCGGCGGCGGGGGGAGGGTCTGCGGCAGCGGCACAGTTTGCGCTGCAGTGACTGTCCAGTCCGGTGCAATGTCCCAGCGGTGGCAACGGCCGAGCTCCGTATGAAGAGCAGGCTGCGATGTTGGGGTCCACAGCCCCCTGGGGCGAGAGTCAGAGACCCACTGCAGATCTGCTTTGCAGAGGGCTTCAGAGACCCGGTTGCCCCGTCGCCATCTTGCCGTTTCTTATGCTCAGTGTTTTTTTCTATATCAATTTTTTTCTATCCCTCTGATTAGGCATTATTATTATTTACCATTTTCTTGTGTCATCTCATCATTCCTCTGTGCTGACCTTTCCTCTGAAGCATTTATTTTAGAAGCTCCGTTGTTAGTAGATTCTCTCAGTTTTGGTTTGTCTGTAAATGTTTTCAAAGATAGTTTCATTTGTTGTATATTTTGAGATTGATAGTTATTTCTCAAAGCACTTTGAAAATATTTATCTTTACATTTCCATTGCTGCTGTGTTGTCATCTCTCCGTTGAATTGTTCTTTGTTCATAAGTAGTCTTTGTGCTTTATGCAGTTTATTTTAAGATCTTCGTCTTTGTGTACAGTTTTTTGCAGTGAGGGTATGGATTACTATTTATTGAGCTTTCTACAACTGGGAATTCAATTTTTAAAAGTAAATTCTAAAAAAATTTTCAGCCATGTTATCTTTGAATATTGCCATTTGTCCCTTTACAGGGCAGTACTCCCCTCCCTCAAGTTCACCCAATCAGTCAGGTTGCCATCTTTCAAGATCCTGGCTTTATTCAGAGACTTTCAGTTACTTTCCCACTATCCCTACTCTTCTGTTTATTTAGATTAAGAAAAAAACCCTATCCTATTATGTTCATACTTGTATGAATATTCTTTTTGAATTTTATAGTCTCGTATCTATTGTTGTATAATATGAACTCATGGACTTTGACAGAATCAGTTTGATTTAGTTAATTCTTATAACAACCCCCCTCCCAGTTTTTTCCTCTCACCTTTGCTTTCTCTGTTCCTTTGTTCAAATTATTCTAACTTGGCAAGTGGGAATCTTATGCCCAGTGCCTTTGATATTCTTACTTTTTGGTGAAAACATTTCCCAGATCCATTCTGATTAGTTCTTTTGTTTGTTTTAAGACATGAGAGTGGCCTAACTTCAAGGAGTCCTGGTTTCTTTTAGTGAGGAATGACAGAGATGAAAATACAGATGCTTGTACACACATAGGCATTGGTGATTGTCAGATGTGCTGTTGCTTCCAGGTCGACCATTTTTAGGAACTGAGTGAGAGAAAGTTCCTTCACCTTGATCTTTACAATGAAATATAATAGGCTTCTGTTCTCTAACTTTTAACAATTAAATATATATATGGTTTTCTAAGCCTCTAAGTCTTATTAATTGCTACTTGGGCTAATAAGAACTTTAAAATCATACTCAGATTTGGTAAAATAAAACAACTCTGTCTATATGTTTTACTGTTTTTAAGGTTATCAAATTATACTTTTTGACATCTATTTTCAACTAATTCAATCCTATATTTTAATCTAATAAAAATATGTTAATGAAATTTAATTTAGTTTAATTAGTTTATTTTAAGAGAAGTTGTAAAAAGAATGTTGGATTTGGAGACAGAAGACTTAAATTCTAGTCTTAGCTTAATCACATTATCAAGTGGTGTTGTGTGCTTAAGGTGCCATATAAATGTAAAGACATTTATGTCAGTGAGAAAAGTAGATAATGTAATATTTGCATTATCCAGTGTTATGTTTTCATGGTGACTTATTAGTTTTATTTCAACTCTCTTTAAAGTAATTTTAAGATCTTATGTGGTTTTACACATTTGGGCAAGATGCTCCTTTTCAGGTATGTATACCCATTTATAAGATTGATAAAATACTCAAATTGCTCTTGGTATTTTATTATTCCTTTTGGTATACCTTTATGTGGGATATAAGGTGGACCTGTTTTATAAAATACTTCTCATTAAAAAGTGGTTTTATAGTCAGGCTTCAGTGTACTGCTTTCTATATGAAAATAAGAACCAGTACTTTTAGTTACAGACTTACAGAAATTTAGAGACATTACTACAGGCGTTTAGCTTTTTTGAAGTTTTAGTGCTAGTTAGTTAATCATATATCTTGGAAATATTGTTCTTATTTGTGTTGTAGGCGGTCTAGGAGGTATTGGAATGGGACTTGGTCCGGGTGGACAGCCTATTAGTGCCAGCCAATTGAACATAGGTGGTGTAATGGGAAATTTAGGTCCAAGTGGTAAGTATCTTAAATTTCTGATTTATTTTTAAATGATATATTTGCTAGATAATAAAGCTTACATTTACTACTCTATATTATTTTTCAAAGGACTCTATTGTATAGTTAAATAGCTAGGGTGTCACTTCAGTCTGAAAGAGGAATGGAACTTTGAGAGCAGCTAACATGAAAGAGAGCAGACAAAGGTCAGGAAGGGTCCTCTGGGGCTAGCCATGTTGGAGCTAGTCTTTTGGCATTGTGAATTTTGAAATGTCTTTAAGGCAGAAGGAGACTATCATGGATGTACAGTATTTGTGGAATAGCTGAAATATTATTATATCATAGGCAACCTAAATTTGTATATCTAGTTGGGAAGGTGGTTTTTCAGGTAGCTGTTTGACTGCTTGCTAACTAATAGTTCATTTTTGGAGATTGGTTTTCAAACTTTCTTGTGTCAGGATTCCCTTTTTTACTCTTAAAATACTCTTAAAATTTGTTGAGGACCCCTAAATGCTTTTGTTTATTATGTGATAATATTTGCCAATATTTGTTGTATTATAAATAAAAACTTAGAGATAGTTACATATTCATTTAAAAATAGCTATAATAAATCGATTACATGTTACATAAATAAACTTTTTAAGAAAATAAACTATTTCCCAATGCAAACAATATTAGTGAGAATGGTGGCATTGTTTTATTTTTCCTTACATCTCTTTAATGTTTGACTTAATACCTTACAGCTATGCTGTTATATCTGTGTCTGCATTCAGTATGGGGTGGTCACATATATAGTGGCTGGAATATTACACTTTATACTCACAAGAGAATGAGAGTCGAATAGTCAAATAATGTCTTTAGTATATGATGACTAAAATAGTTATCCATTAAACCCTCCAGAGTCCCCAGTCCATACTTTGAGAATTACTGTTTTAATTGAAGGCCTAATAAATGCTATCAGATTCCTATTTTTGCTGAGGGGCTATGGTTGCACATTAACTTATGAGGGTGTTCTGGTAATCATTCTGGTTCAAACTGTTTTTTTTCTTTAATTTAGGCTTTTATAACCCCCACCCTCTTAAACACATTCTATTTATATTTTTAAATGATTACTACTTCCTTAACTGCCATGTCTGGAGAATACCTTACGTTCTAGTCTGATCTCTAAATCTGCTGTAGTAATATTTGTGTGTTTGTGCTGAGGGGGCTTTATCAGCGATAGTAATATTTCTTTGCTTGTTCCAAAAAAAGTGAATGAATACCTAGTTCTAGATATTCTCTAACTGAATGTGGTGGGTGTGACCAGTGAATTTTACTTTCTTGTCTAATAAATGTTCAAAGAGGCCTTTTTGAGGACTCATGATTAGATAGCTGCTATAGCATGGCACGTTAAACCATTCCTCCTGTACCCCACTGCTTCTCTTTGTGTTTCATTGTGGCTAGACCAGTGGTATCTGTTTTGCTATCATGCATTATGTCATTCTTTAGAGATAAAAATAAAATTTACTGAAAGTTTATACTGTGTGTTTTATTTGAGGTATGGGAATGGATGGTCCAGGTTTTGGAGGAATGAATAGAATTGGAGGAGGTATGTATAAGCATTTGTATTTTGTATAACCAAAATACATTTTAGCATTTTTAGTAAATTAGAATCTGCATTGAGAATACCAAGAAAAAAGTCATGGTTTATTGTTGGCTCATGTTCTAAATGCTGCTTGCAGAAATTGAGCCTAGTACATACTTAAGGGAAGGTGGTGTGTTAAGAAGTAGCTGCAAAGGTCGGGTGGTTGAAAAGCTTACTGATGAGACTTTACAAAATTTATCTTTCAGCTGTATAACTTGACAGTCAAATCTCAAAGTTAATCTTTATTCCATAGGAATTGGGTTTGGTGGCCTGGAAGCAATGAATAGCATGGGAGGATTTGGAGGAGTTGGCCGAATGGGAGGTAGGTAAATGTAGGTAGTAGGGTGTGTATGCTACATTTAGTTTTTATTATTATTAAAAACTTCCCACTTGACTTAGGAATGGGTGCTATAGATGTCTTCAGAAGGCATAAGGAAGGGCGTTAGGGGATAAGGATAGGCATGGAGGGAATAAGGATGGTATATATGTCATGTGAGGTAAGTTGTAAATCACAGACTGTTTTGTATTTGTGACTTATTCTGTCTTTTCAGTTTAGTTTAGATATATTCCTGAATATCTTACCATGCATTGATATACTTGAAAAAGGGTTAATTTGTTGCACAATCTTTTCAGAGCTATACCGTGGTGCGATGACTAGTAGCATGGAGCGAGATTTTGGACGTGGTGATATTGGAATAAATCGAGGCTTTGGAGATTCCTTTGGTAGACTTGGTAGGGCTGGCTGCATACTTCTCCTTTTCTTTTTGTAGGTTATAATTTTCAAAATTTGTTCTCTTTTTTGTGAAGAATCAGAAGTTTATAATGTTTCATACAGTTTATTTCCTGAAGAAAACACTTTAGGCATTTTAATGTATTAGCTCTCTTATTCAATACCTTACATATTTGAACCTCATTTTCATAAGACTTTATACTTTTCAGTTATTGTACATCCCCCGAGAGCATAGTACCTTGGGAATTTGAAAGTATGATTATTTAAATTAATTAGTATATTATCTTTCCATCCTTGTTTAGGTAGTGCAATGATTGGAGGGTTTGCAGGAAGAATAGGAGCTTCTAACATGGGTCCAGTAGGATCTGGAATAAGTAGGTTTAAATTTTACTAGAATTTATTCAGTAATATTTGACTGCTTGCAAAGACTTTGCAAGAGTAGTTACTGTAGTTTAGTAATACTTTGTTCTTAAATGTTAATATGTCTTGTTATAATTTCAGAAACTTTGATAGTTATTGAGCTAAGCTTTTGTTTGATCATTGTTTGAAATTTCTAATTTTACTGTTTAAATTTTACTCCTTTGATATTTTTAAACTAACACTAGAATATGTGTTAACTATCAACCAATTCAAGAACCTTCTTTCCAACTGAAAGATGTGGGGATTTCTCTGATCATGTGTCAGGAATAGCTCTTGCTTTAATATCAGCTTTGTTTCCTTGCTTATTTTCTATAACAGCTATAAGTGACTAGCTTGTTTTATCTGTGACAGCTATTTTGTGTCTTTTGGTTAATGTGGTTACAACACTTTTAGAGACCTGAGCTTGAGGGCTAAGGTTGAAAGAGGTTTCTTTTCCTCTTATACCTTTCCTGTAATAGAATCGAGTAGTTGCAGCACTGGGGAGTGCTGAATCTCCCATCCATCTATTTCTACCACTACACTAGGCCTTTTATTAAGCCTTAAAACATAGTTTAATTTCTGACCTCTACTGCTTACTTGGCCAGGTCTCTGTGAACTCTTCATACTTTATTGATTTCCTGTAATTGACAAAATTTCACTAGTAGGAAATATAATGTGTTTGAACTATTCTAAGAGCGAATTCTAAAAACCTGTCAGCTGAAGACATCTACTTCCGTTGCATGTTGCTTCTCATTTTATTCCTCCTTTTCATAATCTTTTAGCCTTGGCCATTTTCTTGTTAGTCCCAGCTTTTCTATCTTCCTCTTTCATCTCAGTGTTTGTACTTCTGTTTCCCTAATTTTATATTTGTTCTTCACAAAAAACCAATTTGAGGCTGGGTGCAGTGGCTCAAGCCTGTAATCCCAGCTCTTTGGGAGGCTGAGACGAGAGGATTGCCTGAGCCCATGGGTTCAAGACCAGTCTGGGCAACATGGTAAGACCTCATCTCTACAATAAAACAAAAAAAATTAGCCGGGCATAGTAGCGTGTGCCTGTAGTTCCAGCTACCTGGAAGACTGAGGCGGAAGGATCGCTGGAGCCCAGCAGGTAGTCACTGGGGTGGCTGTGAGCATGCCGCTGGACTCCAGCCTGGGTTACAGAGTGAGACTCCAACTAAAAAAAAAAAAGCCATTTTGAGAGGCATGCTAATTTTTATAATTTCTATGTATAGGGATATTATAGATATAAGAAAAAAGAATATGTTTTGAGAATCAGTAGGATTGGAATTATTAAAAGGGACAGGAAATAGAGTTAAGGCTTAAGATTCAAGTAGAATAAAGAATGAGCTAGGAGCTAAATTCTCAAGTCCTATTTTTTTGTTCCTTCAACAAATTCGCTATAATATTGGAATTAAAAATTACATTTTGCTATGATTATTGAATTGCTATGAAAAGAAGAGAAAACCTGTGGGAAACAGAAGTGAAGATACTGAGACAAAAATGAAGCTAGGAAAGGAATATTTACATGTAGGAAAGTATGATAAGAGCAACAACATCTGTGCTGGAGTTGTAGTAATCTTTATTTTATCTTTATTTTACTTCTAGCAATTAATATGCTTGATATTATTGGAAAATAAAAATGATGGTAAAAGCTACTGTAATGTTATTGAATAAAGTGATTGATAGGGAATTGATATAGTTTGTATGTTTTATGATCAGAATGTGATTTTATAGAGGTATATATGTATAATGTATTTATATAATGGCTAGAATTAAGATTTCTCAACTAACTAAATGAATACCAAAAGTAAATTTTGTTCCTTGGAATATTATTGTATTGTCTGTATGAAAATAGCATTATGTTTGTATATTATTTAATTATATAGATGAATATCTTGCTCCTCCTCTTTCTCAAAAATGACTCTCTCCCTCTTTCCCTTTTTCCTCCTTTTTCTTCTGTTTTTGAAATGAAACCATAAAACTCCCGAATCCTGCCTTCCCTTCTTGAAAATCTAGGTGGTGGAATGGGTGGCATGAACAGTGTGACTGGAGGAATGGGGATGGGACTGGACCGGATGAGTTCCAGCTTTGATAGAATGGGACCGGGTATAGGCGCCATCCTGGAAAGGAGCATCGATATGGATCGAGGATTTTTATCAGGCCCAATGGGAAGCGGAATGAGAGACAGATTAGGCTCCAAAGGCAACCAGATATTTGTCAGAAATGTAAGCAAATCAATGTAAAGGATAATTAAAATTCTTGTTTTTCTTGTGTATATGTTACTAATACCTCTTTTCATTCTAGCTGCCTTTTGACTTGACTTGGCAGAAACTAAAAGAGAAATTCAGTCAGTGTGGTAAGTATGTCATTGACTGCAGATATATCGATATTGATTATGAAGTAAAAATTGGTTTTAACTTTTAAACTCTATGTTTAGACCATTACCTGGCCAACTGCCTATTTCTGGATCGTCTGGATAGTGTCCCAGGTCTAATTTCACCTCAAATAAATGAATTATTTCTCTATCTTCTGACTTAGGACAGTGCAAATTACTATTAAATAACAGGGTTTAGAGTATATCCTGTTACTGTCTCTTGTCAACAAAGAAAGGGCTTCTTTTATTATCTCATTTTAAAAGGATTAATATGTCATCATTACTTGCATTAAAAAGCTTTTTTTTCTCATGAGAAATATTAATAAATGGTATATTTACTTCCTTGCATACACTGTAGTGCAGTAAGTTATCAGCATGAACACTGAGATGCTGACTTCTGGTTGATATGGATAGGTGAGAACCTTCTCCACATGCTGTATTCACAGGAAACTTAACTGATGGCATAGAAGCTACTGCCAGCAATTCCTTAGACATAAGTGTATTTTGTTTGCCTTTCTAATTCTTTGTAAACTGTTCTTAACTATAATGATACTACCTATACACTGTTAATGTTCCTGAGATCTAGATGTTTAGGTGGTCTGTTACTTTTAAAAGAGAGCCTTTTTTTGTACCATACTTACTTTTGTTGTAAAATATCTTAATTGATAAAATTCTCACTTTTTTTGGCAAGGATGGGAGAATTAGTGTGAGTGGTACAAAGTAACAAAGTCTTTGCTAGTATTTTTCTACTATTGCACTGAATCCCAGAGACTATAATGACAATCGGAAGCTACATAGGTAGCATATAATGATGAAAAAAGGTTAAAAGTTGTATATTCATCCTGGAGGTAACAGGAAGCTAAGAGTATTTGTAATATGTCTTTAATTTTTAAGATCATGAAGGGAATAGGTTCAGTGTTAGGTCACAAAAGTAGCCTGTTTCTACTATCAGAGACAGTATTATCAACTGGGTTCTCATAGTTCTTTGTACTTAGCTCTATTATAGCTTTTATTATATTGTAGTTATTTTTTCAAGTTTTCTTTAGTCCTGAAGACAAGAACTGTCATCTTTTTATCCTGGCATCTTTTTCTTTTTTTTTTTTAGAGAGACAAAGTCTGACTCTGTCACCCAGGCTGGAGTTCAGTGGCGCAGTTGTAGTTTACTGCAGCCTCAAACTCCTGAGCTCACATGATCCTCCCACCTCAGCCTCTGCATGATTAATTTTTTAAATTTTTTGTAGAGATGGTGGTGTCTTGCTATGTTGCTCAGGCTGGTCTCAAACTCCTGGCCTTAAGCAGTCCTCCCATTTAGGCTTCCCAAAGCACTGTGAGCTACCATACCTGGCCTATCCTAGCATCTTTTGTTGCCTCTGTACAATATGGTAAGAATTTATGAAATGTTTGTAAGTTGAGCATTCTGGGTAGTTCTTTATTCATTTATTCAGTTATTTATTCATTCATCAAATCTACAAATATTTTTTTGACAATCTGCTAGACCCTAGAATTATGATGGTAAACAAAGTCAGATACCCCTGCCTTCAAAAAACATACAATGTGAATTTGTCCAAATGTTCTGTGGACCCCCTTTCTTGATCATCCTTTTATTTTGCACTAATTTAAAATTCATGGAACGGAAACTTAATTTTTTTTTTTTAAGTGTTGTTGAAAACAAGTCAACTGGTAAAATAATCACCATTAAGAGAAAGCAAAAATAGTAAAATTGTTTCAAGGTATTGGTTGTCTTTTTAGGAGTAAGAAGAGCTACTAGGATGAGTAAGCAGAATTTGACCATGATCCCATAGATTACAGAGGAAGGAATATATTAAAGTCCTAGTGAAATACATCAAGAGTAGTGACAGCAAGTATAATCTCTGTTGACGTAGTTTCAGTGAAAAATATTTCATAATGGGATTTGACATTATGTTAACAAGTAGAAATGAAACAAGGTAAAAGAGAAAAGTAGAGCAGAGAAAATGACAAAATGTGAGCAGTGTTGAATTGTCTGTTCTTTATTCTATGTAGGCAGGTTTCCTTTTGAGGTCAGGTGTGAGCAAGGCTTGCCACAAACTTGAAGTCATTGGTAGACTCCTGGTTGGAGTGGTTTTGCTTTGACAGTATCAAAATCTAAATTTAAAAATTTGTACAGTATTTTAGCCATATGAAATAGTGATTACATCATTATTTATTGTTTTAGCTCTATTATAATTATACCTTCTTGAATAATCTGTAGTTGTATTTTAAGAATAAAACATTGCTTTTGTTTTATTGTCAATTCTATTGTAAAACCATCTGACTTTCAGATTTCATATTAAGGTAGTACTATACTTGCAAAATTATCTTTTATATCTCCCTTATTTTTAACCTTGAACTATATTGATGGGAAAGAAAATAAAGCTATAATTATATAGAATTGAGTGTCCAGTTATTGACAACTGTGGAAATTATCTGGCTAATGTGAACTGAACCATCCATTTTTCTACCACATGACTTTATTTATTTATAAATATTTGAGTCTTTCTTAGTTTGTAATATTTTTTTTAATCTGCTATGAGCCAGTGAAGTTCTCTGGCAATAAAAGACAGGTTTTTGAGGGGCAGAGATTGTTTTTTCTTCTGAGCCCAAAGTGAGTAAGTGTATTCTCTTACTTGGTTTTAGTAAGAGTCTAGTGCTACTCCATGCATCTCCCATAAACAATATCTGCCAGTACATGGTCCCACTGACAAGCCCCTTTCTTATAAAATGTCTCTAGTGATTAACTATTCTTCATGGAGCAGTTACAAAGACTGAGACGATGTTATATTATGGTTTATGTTATCCTCAATACATTTTCTTAGCTTTCATAATTCAGGAAAAAATGTTATCAGATCTTCTTAAATACAAGATGAGAAATAAGTTAGTATAACTGCTACTTTCCAATACCTTCTTATAATACCAGTAAACCCCCAGAAGTAAAGTTTTTGACCCCAGGCTGGTAACCTCACATATCATTCCTGTAGTAAAAGAGATCCTTCTTTTTATCTTGCCCTATGGTAATTCCTCAGTGACGTGCATTTTCAAGAATACTGAGTGGTAAAGCTGGGCTCTGTGGCTCAGCATGTAATCCCGCGCCTTGGGAGGCTGAGGTGAGTGGATTGCCTGAGCCCGCGGGTTCGAGATCTGCCTGGGCAACCTGGCGAGACCTCATCTCTACAATAAATCAAAAATTAGCTGGGTGTGGTAGCGCACGCCTGTAGTCCCAGCTACTTGGAAGGGTGAGGCGGAAGGATCGCCGGAGTCTAGCAGGACGAGGCTGCGGTGACTGGGAGTGGCCACTGCGCTCCAGTCTGGGCGACAGAGTGAGACTCCAACTCAAAAAAAAACAAACAACAACAACAAAACAAACAAAAAACCAAAAGAATACTGAGTGACAATAAATTAACTGACCTATGCAGAGTTGGACCCCACATTAGTTCAGATTTTGCTAATGGGATCAGATAGGTATAGTCCTTCAGACTTGTTCCCGTGTTGTTGGTATACTTCAACTATGTTCTGGCCTTCTGGCTCTGTGTGATGCTGGACTATAACATTTTAGGACTTTTGTGCAAGAAAGGCCCCTTTTTAGTTATTCTTGCTGTAAACCGTATAAACAAATATAACTTGGTTCCACACATTTTCATTATGTAGTATTTCTACATTAGTATGCTTGTTAACTGCAGGGAAAATGGAGACTTGTGAATTTTCTTTACTAAAGTACTTGCTGCTTAAAACATGATGGAGTTTAGAATAACTTCACAGTAAAAATAATGTATTAACAGTACAAATAGTAATAAAAGAAGGACATTCATTGATAATCACTTTCTTTTGTTTGTAAAGAAACACCCAAACTGTTTTTTTGTTCTTATACCTTAATTATGCTTCCTTAAGGTGGATGTCTGATTTTCCTTTTTTCTCCCATGGTTATGTTACAGCTTCTCTTAGGCAGATTTTATTGAACCATTTATTTATAAATACTTTAATTTGGTCTATTTTTAGGTATGCTTTTAAACCAGCATTCCTGAAGTATGCTCCAAATGTTGTTACTAGGCTACATTACATAAAGCAGAAAGGTTTAACTGAAAGATAAGTCGTTTTTGTTACTAGTGTATGTAATAGCGACGTGTTTGATTGTTTTGTGATACTGATTTCTCATGGCATACTATTTTATCCCATTCTCTTGCTAAAATAACAGGCCTATCTTTGTTTTCTTGGATTCATACAAGATTAGTAGATATTTAAGTCAGTTAAGGAAGTTATCAGAACAAGTAAAAAATTGGGCAGGTCTAATATTAATCAGTTATTTGAAACGATTTTTTTTCTTCTGAATTATTTATCTTTATGAAAGGCAATATTTCATTTGGTATTTATATAAGATTAGGAAGAAACTTAGAAAATTTTTAAGTCTTTCTGTTGTATCCTACTGGGCTACTGGGGTTTTGGAGGAGGGGGCAATCTAATCATGAAACAAGTATCTATGGGCTACTCGTTATATAGGCTGAGTATCCAGACTAAGAAGGTTCAAGTATCTTAACTGAAGGACCTTGTCAGGTAGAAAATTCTTGAGATCAGGTCAGGAATTTGGAAGTCTTAGAGCAGTTCTTATTTCTAAACTGAGGGACACAATTGAAGAGGAAAACAAGAAAGGGAGGCTTATCCTGAAAGATTGGGAGGTAGATGATATAATAGTGGCATACTTTCTTTTGAAGTTTTGAAGATTTCTTGCTTGGGTGAAACTTACTGTTGCTACAGTGGGATACTTATTTGAAGAAAAACTCTGAGTTTTTAGGTGAAATTAGAATAAGGAAAAAATTTTCACCTTAAAATGCCTTGAAAATTTTCCACAGTCCTTTTCAAAACCAATGCAAGGTGCTGCCATTTACCAAAGTATGCGTCTTTGTTTATACTTGCTTTTTTTCAGGTACTAGCATTCAAGATACTAAGAGGACTCTGGAAACTGTGCTGCATCTATCTTTAAAGTTGTTTTTTAAGATGTATTTTCCAGTTTCATTTATTGATATTTATGAGAAACTGTGATTGCTGTATTTTTCTTTAAATTCCGGTTGTGGGCTAAATATTATCTGGATCTACTTTTAACCATTATAATGTAATTTCTCTGGAGCTTAGCCTGATCTGTACCTTTTTTTTTTTTTTTTT